CTTCCAATTCTCTCCCTCATCCCACTGGGTATGAGGGTGAGCAGGCAGCTGTGGAGCTGAGCTGCAGGCCAGGGTTAAACCACACCACCTTCCTAAGATCTTTAGCTCAGGACTAGCAAATCAAAGGATCATGATGTGAAAGACTCTGACTTTTTTAATCACTGTTGATTTAGTGTTACTTACATGTCATTTTATGCCTTCTGCCTTTGAGAAGCAATACCTCTCTCTGTAATGTCAGTATAGTACCACATCTCTTTTTTAATTATAAATACTACTAGGACTATTCTCTAGCCATGGAGGTATATCATTCTAATGGGATAACTGGCTGTTTAGACTGCAAATGCAAAACACGTCCTGAGATGGAGGATCAATGGCCACTGGGCTAGCACAATAATTACAGAAGGTTAGAAAAATTTCAAGTCATTTGAGAAAACAAACTTGAAAACACAGAGTGAGAAGGAAGTTCTTTACAGTTACGTATGCATGTCCCAGAAAGTCATCTCTAGCCCCTAAACCAAGAGGTTTCGTGTAGCTCGCACACCTCAAAGCTAGCCCTTGCAGAGTGAGCTTACCTGGCAACATTATCATAGCATATAATTACCCCACAACTGTTTGCAGTATGTGATTACTTGTTCACCTGTCTAGCATAACAACAACACTAGTGCTTTAAATACCCATAGTAACTCAAAGAGTCAAAATCTGTGCTGCTGCAAGCTCTCACTTCCCTTAGACTTGAGAACCTGAGCGTTTTGTCTTCTGCCATCCCTAGGAAGGAGCTTTTCAACCCATCATGCCACCTGTAGCCTCAGAGGGAAGATGTGCAGTGAGCCATACAAGACTCCAAACATAACAGGAGAGTGCACCTTGCTTTGAGACTCTGTATTTATTGTGACAAAGTAGTATTGTAATGGAAATATGGTGTCCAGGTAAAGTTCTGTCAACTGAAAAATGTCTTTCTGGCCAGGAACAAAATGAGAAAGGGCTTCTCTGATGCTATGTGCAATATTAAGAAAAAGGCCTTACTAGCCAAATACTAATAAAAAAGCCTTAATCAATACCAACACAGCCTCTGTCACAGTTCTCCAACAATCACCATCTTAGTTCAGGGGCAGGTGGCCTGAGCCCACCTGAAACCAGAAGAAGTAGAAGTGAAGGCGATCCAGCTAGCAGGGAGGAAGAGAAGCAACAGCCACCACAAAGGCTTCCTGAGCAGGAGGTTTAAAAGCCCCTTTGTGAGCTTTTTCAGGTTTCCCTCCTGACCTGTTGCCTTCTGCTTTCGGAACACACTCTTTTGCTCTGCCTAGATGGCCAGTTCTCCTCCTGATGGTGGACCAGGGCCTTGACTGTGCTTTTCTTAAGCAGAATGTATAACTTTTAAGACATGGTGAGAAAACGCTACCTTCTCACTGCTGTCTCAGGATCTGGCCACTCATGGCACAACTGAGGTTTATCCCTCATGTGATTCAGTGATAAGAAGAAAAAAAACCCCAAAACGTTAGCATGTTAGTCCTTGACAGTATCTTGAGGGACACAGCGCAGTGTGTTACTGCCTTTACCTATTATTCTCATACACACCTGCATCCCAAGGACCTTGCAACTTCAAATGAAGAGGCCTGGACTAGTTTTCTCCCTTTGCAGACCCTCTGGAGAGAAGCGCTTTGTGGGATGACCCACCAGCTGGCAGCCAGAGCTGCCACACTTGAGGTGAGAACGTTGTGACATAATGTTATGCCTACTGACCTATGTAGTCCTGCAGCAGTTTTTTTGCAGAGGGAAGGGGAACGAAAGCAGTGAGTGAAAGGGAGGAAAAGCTGGCCTGCATGTCCTTGTGAGGATGACTGCATTGGTGCTTCACAACTGTTTTTCTGAGCTGCTCCAAAACAAGCTAGCTGGTGGTGCATCAGGTGCCACTGGGAAAGTGAGGATGACTTTAGGAAACAGACAAAACATCACACCAGTGTGACAGGAGTGGTTTGGCATGATTTACTGTTGGAATGACCAATTATTACACACTACCCCTCCAATGTCCAATTATTTAAGGTGTCTGCTTCAGAAGTATTACTCCATGAATGGTCTGTGCTTCTCTCTCCCCTCAAGCCAGTGAAAGGAAAACCTGATATTCCCCAGAACTGGTCTTGGACCCTGTTCCCAAGGACTCTGCTAATAACTCCAGTGGACCCTGTGGTAGAGAGTGATGTGGAAGAATAATGTGGCCCTGAAAGATGGGCCCTCAGCCAGATCTTGCTCTTCTGTGAACAATACACCGTTATTCTGATATAAATATGTTGTTTTCCTGAAGAACAGAAAGTAAAACTGATTCTTACATGGAGCGAACACTGCCAGTACCATCTGGTTTTGCAGCAGAGGAGGGAATCCCACTTTCAGCACTTCAGTTCTCCATGTGATCAGTCCTATGCACTATGTTACATGCTAGATGATCTGAGTCAGGGAATATGATTCTTGTTAAAGTTCTTAAACTTCTTAAAGTTTTTTGTTTCATTCTGTATTGCGATTCCTAATTTTATTGAAGAGTTCTTTTGAGGACTATAAAATCAGACTGGAAGCCAAATTACATGAGAAAGAAGAAAAGACAGCACCAGAAGTAAGTTTATTCTGTCTAAAATTATTCTTTCATCTCTATTTTATTTTCTGTACATGTGTGCTACTAGAGTCCTTAGTTTGTATTACAGTTGTACCACAATTGTACACTCATGAGACAGATTGTAGTACAGAATCTAATGTAAGATGCAAGCATTTCTTAAATCAGTTCGCTAAAGCACAGCTTTTGTTGCTGATACTCTTTTTGTAAACATGCCATTCCCACCCCTGCTGCTCTGCTGCTAATAATGGTTGGCAAGAAAGTGCAACCTAAAATAGTATTATTTTTAAAGCCTTCTCTACTTCATTTCTCCTACTCACAGTAGAGTTGGTCCACTGTGCACTCCCAGAAATGCATCGTCATTGATAACTTCCAGGTATTTGTTCTTGTGCAGATAGCTGCAGAAACAAACAAAACAGTGATTTGGAACCAGTTATCCATAGGTTAAAGAAGATCTTCAGTTTACTTCACTAAACAGATTTACAAAAGCAATATGTATAAGGGCCATCCTATCCCAACAACATATTGAAGCATAATCACTTACTTCATTTTCTGTGTACTAAAGAAACAAAATACAGGTTTACTATTTTGAAAATAAAATAAATTCCTCAACAAATAATAAATAAATAAATTGGCAAAAATAATTATATTTGCTCCAAATTCTTTTTCTCTCTATCATACACATAAAGACATATGCATACACACTGTATCTTCAGGTAAATATGTGTGAGGATCAGGTGAAATAGATTGGTTTACTTTCATCAGAATGAGGTATGATAGTTACAAGAGCACATCATGAACAAACATAAAAATAATTCCCTCCTTGTTCTGAGTTTGATAATAAAAGTTTTAAACACTTTAAAATCTCCATAGCCAAGTGGAGGCTCCCATGTACAAGTCAACAGTTAAGAATGAAGTTTTGTTATAAGAGCAATAGAGGGAGTGAGAAGGAGGATAAATCAATCTGAAGGAAAAAAATAATATAAAAGTTATGTAAAAAAAAAAATTCTAAAGTCTTGGGAAAACTGTGAACAATTTCCTAAGTAGCCAATGCTCTCCTGAAATATGGAATGCTGCACATTTCTCCTGTCATTACATGATTGATGTAATCAAGGACCAACGTTCATAGAGTCGTAGAATGGTTTGGTTGGAAGGGACCTTAAAGATCATCTCGTTCCAACCCCCCTGCCATGGGCAGGGACACCTTCCACTAGACCAGGTTGCTCAAAGCCCCATCCAACCTGGCCTTGAACACTTCCAGGGATGGGGCATCCACAGCTTCTCTGGACAATCTGTTCCAGGGCCTCACCACCCTCACCGTGAAGAATTTCTTCCTAAAATGTGACCTAAATCCTTCCTCTTCCATTTTAAAGAAACTGCCCCTTGCCCTATCACTACCTGCCCTTGTAAAAAGTCCTTCCCCAGTTTTTTTAATTTCCATTACTCTGGAAACTGACATACAAGAAAGTGTGAACTTGAGAAGTAGGGAATTTACAGAGTTGAGTTAAAGGTGCATGATTAAAGACAGGCAATGCAAGGCTACTGAACACTCAAAAAATTAACTAAGTGGGACAATCAATGTTAAATTCAGTTGTGTTTTTAGATTTAAAAGTGACTGATCTAGAATGAATCTTGATTTTTAAAAAAATTTTTAGACTGAATTCCTGTTTACCATGGACTGAAACTGTCGTTTGAGAAACTTATAAATATATGGATTATTATTGCCGGTAATTCAGTCACATTCCAAATTGCTTTAGAGAGGCTATGCATTTCTGTCTGAGACTTTTGTTCTCAATGGCCTAACAGAATTTATGTTTTTTGTGGAAAGACTTGGGAGAAATAATTAGCTTCAGTAGTTCCACAGTTGCAGGTGTACAGCATAAATTAAAAAACCTGCAGGTGCAGCAGAAGCACAGGCACCCTGCTTTTCGGCCAGAGTCACAGTGGACTTACAGCACTGAGCACATTTTATGACATTCTGTGAAGAGCAGATGTACGCAGAACATGATGAAATGGAAAAATAAGTGTTATTTTTATGCATACAGTGTGAGCTTGTGTGTATTAGTTGGGTATATTTGACATAATTTAAAATGTGGTTTTGGAACAATTGTCCAGCTAAATAGAACTTCACAAAATGCAACAGGCATGCTAATTTCCTTGACGAGTTGGTTCCTCCTGCTTAGCCAGGAGGGAGGAGGACTGCAGTTAAAAGCAGCTAGATCTCCTAAACAGACAGACAGGAATATGCTGAATTAGCTGAGCAATGAAAAGAGACTGAAGATTAGGTTGCAATATATACATATGTACATATATATATGTGTGTGCACATGGATACTACTGTGATAATTTTTTCCCTAAGCCAGCAATTAAATCCTAGGTGGTGTTTCTAGTTAGTTCAATCCACTTCTGTCACAATGTTTACAAGAGAAGCAGCTTGCAGGCATCACACCTAGTCATGCTTTTAAACTTAATTTAGATGGAAATGGAAATCTTGTGAGGAGATTAAGAATCATTTACCAAATATAGTAGTCCCTGGAGGAGGATGGAGGAGCATCTAGCTCTCTTGGCTAATGAGCACTATATAAGCAAGGAGACAAAACAGTCCAAGCATTTTGTTTCTGTACTATGATCAGAAAGAACCTCTGAGAGAAGTTTGAACCAAGGCAGCAGAGGGGATGGTACAGCTGCAGGACTGCACTTCGGGGCAGAAATGCAATGCAACCATTAAGGAGGAGAACACAGAAAATTGTCAAGGAAAGTTGTCAAGGCGAATGTATGTTCCCCTTGATGAAATGATAGCAAAATGATCAATGCTATAAAGGCCCTGAAGGACCATGGTGCCTAGGCAGAATAGACTCGTAGCACCTGTGACTATCTCATTTATAAATTTTATCAATTTTTTGTATAGTGGAAAAGGTAAAGTCTAATGTCCCCAGTAGCAAACCACAGATTAAAGCATGAGACTGCAGTCTAGGAGCAACAACAGGGTCCACAGACTGCAATATTATAGCTACCTCAGCTCCAGCAGAAGTAGGAAGAGGAACTCATAGTGACATGACAACAGTGGGTGACCCAGGTCCAACAACGACAAGCATCAGGATTGCTTGACATTTCACCAAGAAGGGCACAGGGCTGGTGGAGGCCTTGTAATGCAAAAATGAAGAAAAAGAAGATGACTGCAGTTGATGACCTTAAAGCACTGCTCAAGAGAAGATGATGTGGTCCTCAGTCCAACTAAAGGACAGAAACTTTGCAAGGATTGCAGACAGACTGCCTTAAGGAGATCATGTTTCACAGGGTAGATAAAAGCAGAGAGAATTCCCAATGATGAGATCAGCAGGAAAAGAGAGAAATAGGAGAAAACCAACAATATTGCCCAAGTGAAGCCAGGTGACATTGCTCAGAGTGTAAACATAATTATCTGAAAAAGAGGAATTTCACAAAATTTCAGAGTGCAGTGGGCCCAGAAATGATGAGGTGCCCAGACCAGACCTATTAAAGAAATTAAATTAAATTAAGGGAGAAAGAATTCGATAATAATGACGCAGACATTAATACTTCAAGTGGAGAGGGATGTTTGGTACTATAACTATTACAAACATTTTAAAGCTAGCTTGTGATGTAGCTAGGAAGGCAAAAAATACAATAGAAAGGTTGTCACAACAGATTTTAAAGGGTGTCCACGAAGCTGCCGTGAGCTGTGCCCATTGTGCCAGTCAGTGGCACCTTAGGAAAGGTCAAACCTTTCCTAATTGTTAGCTCTGTAACAAAAACACCATTTGAGATGGTGGCTGTGGAGATAATGGCATTGACTCAGAAAAGTGCAGAAGGCCACTATTCTATCTTTGTGCTGGAAGAGTCTTTCAAATTCAGATAGCTGAACTGGGGTTTAGCTGTAAAAACAATAAAGTCAGAACAATTGTTTCTTGGTGTGGAAAAAAACCAAATAAAGATTCTGATCCTGTCCTGGTTGAAGTCATTGGCAAATTTTCCATAACATTTACTGGATATAAGCTTATATTGATCAATATAGTGAGAAATGAGAAGTAAATGCACTTCAGCTGGGTTACACAACACAGTCTTAGGGAGCCAAGCCAGAGTAACACCTCTGGCATGTTATTCATCGGACATTAGCCATGCCTAAAGCCTTGTTTCTTACAGAGGAAAATAGCTTACTTCATCTTCTCAGCTGTTATTATCTGAAATAAGCTTTCATTCTTTAGAAATATATGACATTCTAGTATCACCTGATATTTGTGTTTTCTGAGAATTGACTCTCATATTCTCTAAATGACAACCTAGTGACTTTTGCTATGAGCTTTTGCTTCAGTTTGCAAATTTCCTCATGATTTTGTCTGCAAATCTAATACAAAAATTAAAACCAGAGCAAGAGCTAAGATTTAATCCAAGACTTCAGCATCTAGGTTGTAGTTTTAAAGGACACAGAAACCTGCCTGACCTAATAAAACCAGACTGCTTTAGTAATTAGACATTATTATACAACCAGATAACTGCTTGTCCAATTTTGAAATATTTTCCCCTGATATTTGAACACCATAGCGAGTGATAAACGTGAACTATAATAGTTTACACATACGATAAAAATCTTCAAACTTACAAATTGAAACAGCCAGCTAGAGACTTTCAGGAAGTTCATGTGTTACCAAGGAGGGGCTGCAGTCTTAGCTGCCAGTTTTCACATAGATGAGTCAGGCCCATCAGAATGTACAAATTCTGATATTAAACGATTTCAGTTGTTTAAGCCCTTTTATTTTGACGGCTACCTCTTTTAAATGGAAAGAATAAGACTTTGGTAAATGTGAATTTGACAAAGACAGTTTATGTATAGCTGATATAGCTCCTTCTGAGAGTGCTTTTTAATCCTGCTGTTACTGATAGCAAAATGGTATAGAATATCATTTAAATACACTGCAGAAAAGAAAATCACAACAGTGGTACCCATGTGCATAAACAAATGTTTGAAGTCTTAGAAAGTACATGGGTGAAGTGGAATATCTATCTTCAGTGGGGACACTAGAATAATAGTAATTTAGGAAAATTGATGGAAGGCAATCTGATAGACATGAATACCGCGGTGCAAAGTATGCAGGAAATCTGGAGCAGGATGTGCTGATGTTTTCATAGTGCTATAAGTAAAAG